AAGAATACATGTGTGTTCATACTCAGATAATGTATGTGTATGCACAGTATGTGATGAAATTAAACTACAGGATAAATAACTTTAATAAACTCTACATTTTGAGGCACATGGGGAATAAAATTCATGTTGTTTCTAAGTTATAGACACAGCATCTTTTTTTTTCCCTATCTCGGTACCTTAGTGTAATGCCGATTTGCATTTAACCTAGTTATCTTATGTTTGCATGCTTTGCAAACTGAATTACAGGACCAAATTGCCTATTACAATTTTCCATTATGTAACACAATTACATAGGAACACTTTGAGGTGAGAGGATTGTCCCAAAATTAGGAAACATTGATTTCAGCATGCTTGCAAAGAGCAAAGATTAAGGAGAGGCCCTTTCCCCAGGTAACAGGGTTTACTGCTGTCTCTTTCCAATGTAAACGCCACTCACCATTACAATGAGCTATATTCACTAATGTCTAGTCTGCAAAATTAGATCCACTGGTTTTGTTTTGTTTTTAAAGAAGTTAGGACCTAAAACGACACCATTTCCTAAGCTGAAAGCTTCTCTCTCCCCGAGCACTTCCAAGTAAAACATGGAGTTGAACTAATGTTCCAAGATTCCATTACGTTCATAAGAAATGAAAGCACAATGAATTTTCATACAATTAGAATATCTGCAGTACATACGCCGAGTCCTTCTTGCACATGTGCCTCAGCACAAGCAAATGACGTGCAAACTTTCACTGATGACCTTTCTCTTTAGTTTGCAAACCCAATCATAGAAACACACATGAACATGTGCACACACCCCCTCTGAAAATCCTTAATTAGAAGGGAGGAAAGACTGTCTCGGTAGAGAAGAGGGAAGGTAGTCAACCCTGTTTCTACCTTATCGGGATGAGGAGATGACCTGTTTGCACCGTTGGTTTCTGGTTGTTTCATAGTGTGCAAATAAAGTAAGACGTTTTACCAGGGAAAACGTGCAGCTGCCGCTCTCCCAGATGGGGCGAGATCGGGAAGTCTCCCAAGTGGGTATATGGGGTAGAGAAGTAGCATAAAGAGGTGGAAACATGAGATTAACTAAGGCTGAGTTGAAAGAAAGATTCTGAAAATAAACCTGTCAACTTACAAAACAAAAGACATAACATTTCAATCATCATGATTCTACCTCACGAGCTTGGGAACACGGATTTCACTAACTCATGCGCCCTCATTGGTTAGTGGGAGTCTTGTTGGATAATGACAGCCTAGTGTAGCAAGTAAAACACACCTTTTGGCCCCATTAAGGGAGAAGCTTCATGATGTTACAGTCATACTTCAGTAACAAAAAGTTTTCACTGTTAGTGAAAAAAAATAGCAGCAAGACAATTATGATAAAAAGATTTTATTCAATCAGTTTATTTCATTTTCTTGCATGTGAATAGAATGAAAAGCAAATTTATCCACAAATGTATTTGAAATATGAAATGTTTATGTGAATGAAATTACTTCTAAGTATATACAGTAGAGAAATTATCTAATCAACAGATATCTATAACATGGAAATATTTTCTCTGTAAAGCAAATGATATTTCATATTTTCTTGAGGATAAAATGAGAGGAGCTCTTTTTTTAAATCCCCAAGTGATCAAAGATATAGCTAGAAGATGCCAGAAAATTAAATAATATGGCTTAGAACACAATGGATAATAAAATAAATCAAAGTCCCTCAAACTTTCTCACACTTAGACAGAAATACTTTCAGTTCCTGAGGAGGAAACACGTTTGACTTCTAGAAAGACCCCGAGGTGCGCAATTGTGCTGGAGAAAGGCCAGGAATGGAAACTTTTTTTTTTTCCCAGAGCTATGCTGCCTTTCTCCTTCCTCTAAACCACGTTTTCTTTTGGGAAATATGTCATCATCTTTCCCTACTCAGACACAAGCCACTTAATATTGCATATGTCTCAGTAGTCTTGTAAACGTTCAAAAACAATACCACACCCCAGAAATGCTTCTGATGTCGTCACTGTCCTTCGTTTTTCATGCTGGTTGGACCCTCCTCACTTACACATGAGACTCTGGCCTGGCTTTGGTCATGAGGCTGTACAGTCAGTGCTAACTGGGTCTGGACAATGCTGTGTTCTGTAAAGAACTTTGGCATTATCTGAATTGCTGCTGGATGTCAGAGTGACTCCGTGCAGGTTGCAGGATGGCGGGAGAAACAGCTTGTGGTTCTCAAGAGGGACATCGAATTGGCACCAGGTCACTTAAGCTTCAGGGCTGAATGAAGAGGGACAGCTAGTGAGAAGGGCATTGTGCTTCATGAAGATTCAAGAGGCACCTCAGTGGGACATCAGGGTGAGTCACAGAATGAAACATTCAGAAGGGTGGAGACTCTCATTCCCAACCTCAGGCATTGAGCTGAGAGGGTTAGACCTTGAGAAATAGAACAAGAGGAGATTGGGCAGGAAGCGGGGCAGAGTCAAGAAATACTGTGGGTGGGTGACAACTGGACAGAGATCAGAACCACTGGGCTAGGGAGAACAGAGTTGGCTTACTCTTATTTCTTTCTCTACCCCGTCTCTATCCCCAAAGGCATTTGAGCTAGTGGAATGGAGAAAGACAAAAAAGAAAACAAACCAACAAAAAAACACGGAGGCAGCAAGAAATAATAGAACGAAAAGTAAAAAACGAGTGGGAAAGAATGGCCAAGTGGTGCTTACATGGCCTTGAGAAGTTATGGGCCCATGAGAGAAGAGGATCAAATAATATCTAGATAAGGTTGCAAAGGAGGAGAGGCAGAAACCAGCAGACATGAAAAAGAAGAGAGAGGAGTCAACAGCCTATAACTGCTATGGCAGCACAGCCCCACTGGCCTTGGCCAAAGTAACTGAGCTGGAAATGCTTTTAAAGGTCATCTGGATGACTCCCCTCCTTTTCCAGATGAGGAGATGGAGGTACGGGGGGAGGTGACTTGGAGAGCTTGTTTCTTGCACACTGTACCATGCTCTGCCCCCCAAAGAGCAATGTGGAACCCACAGGGCAGAAGGTTCTGCCCTGGAGGGGAGCTGTCCAGGTGTCCCCCAAGATCTCTTTTTCCCAACTGTAGGATTCTAGGGTTCTACGTGTGAAGGTGGTCTCTGTATGTTTGCAAACACTCACAATATCCTCAGCTTACCATGCCTAAGGATATAGCAGTAACAATACTTTAAAATGAATATGTTGAATGTTATACATCCAAATACTGTTGTCCTTCAAAATAGTCCATACATTGCTGCTCCTTATTTTAACACCTGCCTAATATATTTAAGTTAACCAGTGAATTGTGGCTGTTATTGTTCAAACTGTTTGTACCAAGTAAGAAAGCACACAAGGAAAAGACAAACGAATGTGTGTGAAAACACATGATTTGAAACCTGAAACTAATTACCCATGTCATGCACCAGGCATGAGCCCAGTGGCTTTGGCTTTCTCCAAAAAGAAAAAAAAAATCCACCCTCAAGGGATGATGATGGGTTTCCAACAACACTTTAAAAAGAATGTAGTTGAGGATGCTACATTTATGGTGGAGGTAGCCTTCGGTCGTACATCATTGCTGTAAAGCCACACCTAGTGAGGCGCCATTATTTCGTAATGAGCTGTTTGGAGAAGCAAGGCTTCGGGTGTATTCCAAAGTTGGAGCCAACAGAAGAGGTTGATGTTGGCCTGTGCAAGCACCTAGTGCATGGAACTGACTCTAAGGCTCAGACGATGTGGTCAAGCCCCAGAGCAGGGTAGGGTGGGAAGACAGCTGAGGTATAGGTGGTCTGTGTGGTATATGTAGACCCTTCAAATGGAAAGATGCTGCTGGCCCCACACTGTCTGGCATCACTGTTTAATCACCCGTGGCTCTACCTGCCGTCTCTTCCTCTGCAGGAAATCAATGCTAAGCATGGGGAGAACCTCCGGGCTCCTTATGTAGGATTTTAAGAGTGCAGATCTGGGGCCTGTCTTGTGAAAGCACAGTGAAGAAAAGCAAATCCTCCTCTAAAAGTGTGCTTTTGCCCAGAACTGCTTCTAAGTTGGGGGCATTTCCTGAAGCCTGGGAGAGTCACAGCGAGTGTTGTCTCCAGGCGGGCATCTTGGTGAGGCCCACGTGTGATAACACCACCGAAACCACAAAGGAATTTACCATGGGAAGTGTCCCAGCAGTTGCTTATTAGCATTAGAACCATTACACCAAGTCTATTGTTAGCAGACTTGTTTTCATTATCTTTATCTGGCGGCAGTAAATAACAGCGATTCTTTTTCAAGCAAATGCTAGATTTCCAAAGATCCAGCTTCCAATCGTCTGTGCAGGGATCATCTTGCGTTAGGATAAGCGTCGGAGTGGATAACACCCCAGAAGCTGAGGTGCCCAGCGCTCTTCATGCAGGAGCAGGGCGGGACACACAGGAGCTGCCTGCAGGTGGAGGGGGTGATGCTGCTGGGCTTGACATCACAGAATGGAAACAAGAAGGTTTGTTCCCCTGCATGTCTGACCGTCTGCTGGACCATCCCCAGTGTTCTCAGTGTGGCCCTCTCATGCCACAGGGGAGCGATGGGGCACATGGCAAGGCAACAGGAGAGCCCGGCAGGTGCTCAGTTCTTAGAATGTTTGTGACCAAAAAAAAAAAAAAAAAAAAAAATCAGACCCATGGACAGGTTTGCACCCCTCTCCTTAAAAAAAGATTGCGGTTTTTAAAAAAATCACCTACTCTTTCACAATTCCATGTCTTGTTATCTGAGGTTTTTAAAAAAAGTGAGTCCAATCCCCTTCCCCTCTGTCCCCAGTGGAGAAGAGCTGAGAAGTGACCCCTTCAGAGCAGAGGTCAGACCGTGCCTGCTGACCGCTTACACATATGAAAACCTGGCTGTTTCTTTAGAACAAGAGCAGACTATTTCCATCTTTCGAGACCTTCTGACAATGACTAAATTTCAGTCCCTGGTCACCTATGGACATCTCCAATTATCTTCAGAGATTTGACAACATTCTCCTAAAACCATCTCAAAAATAATTTTAAAAGAATTTTAATAAAAAAAATAAGAACTATTCCATACAGCACATAGATACAAAAATAGGTTATTGCAGCATGAAGGGTTGGGGCTGTTAGAATCGCTGCTTTCATTGTTTTCCTAAGAAACTTATGGTGTAGGCCTCCCTCTGTCACTGGTTTCCTTCTCCAGTAAACCAGCCCTAGTCCCATATTCCTTCCCAATGTATTTAATATAGTTGGTAGCAGCCCTGCTGCAGGGAAATGGTGAGAGCTCCGTGTACTCTCTGGTAGGTGCTAAATGCCCACAAGACAATTGTTCCCTGCCGTGGGCTCCCCAGCAAGGCGTTTCCCCAGAGTCACCTGGAGCCCAGGCTTGACACATACAATCATCCTCCTGAGGGGGCAGGCCCAGAGTCCCAGAGCAGCCCTGGTCACCCGGCTTCCTCAAGGGCATACCCTAGTAGAATAAGAGGGGGCACTTAGTAGTAGCAACCAGACCACAGTGGGTTCTGCCTCCGTATTGCAAACCAAGCAAAGGCAATGGCTCGTACACTCCCAAGCACTCACTTCCTAAGGCTCTTCCAACTACAGTGTCAGGAAACACACACACACACACACACACACACACACACAGAGACAAGACCCACGGCTTTCACCTAAAGTCTTCGCACAGGGAATAATGTGATTCATGAAATATTTAAAAGGCCTTAGGCAATAGAATTGTCTCTTGATTTTTTTTTTTTCGGTGTTTAACAGACAAGTGTAATTGGAAATGTTTGGAGCATGAACACAGGCACACACACATACACACTCTAATTTGGAATTATGCAAAACGATATCATTATTCACTACAACCTGAAGCAAAGCTACTGCAATGGAATAACAAGTACCATATCTATACAAGTGCGATGCCCTCAAGTCGGTTCTCATTTGGACAAGGGTGACCCACGTGACCTAACCCTTTAAGGTCTGTTTAGAGGAAATGGCCTGGTGTGTTTTACATTTGTGAAGCTATTTAGCCTCCTGGTTTGACAAGATTTTTGAGAGGGGTGAAAATTAATTATAATTGCAGTATTGCTACAATAATTTAGTTGGTTAATTGCATTTCAGTGCAGAAGCAGTCAAGGAAGATTTTCCTCCCCAGGTTATTCTATGATGTGGCAGCATTTATTTTAAGAGTAATGAGATTTTTAAAAAGTCAAACCTCAAATATCATGGCTTCAGCAATCTGTCCTGCTTAAAGTTTAATGCGAAATGAGATAGCACCTCCGTGAGAGCAGTTCCACGTGAACATGGATCCAGTTTTCTCCGAGACTTCAAATGAGAACCTATCTCTCCCCTGAAAACTACTCGAGGGATCTCTATGACATTGTTTGGGGCTGATTTTTATTTGAGAGCACCAATGTTTGTGACTCTGTAGTGAGGGAGGCACTGACGAGGGTGGGTAGGAAGTTTTGAAAACTTAATACTGGAAGTCACTACATGAGGTATCTGTTCGTGGAAGAGGTACCACAAGTATCGGAAGATTGAGAAAAAAAAAGATGAGTGAAAAACCTGGGTTGTTGTGGGATTTTTCTGGATCTCATTGTTTTCGCACTGGCAGTTCTGAATACATAACCTGTCCCTGGCTGTTTTGAGGGAAATGTATCTAACTCTAGACCAGCAGTGAGCTTAATAAACTCTTGAGAGACAGGCCCTATCACCTTAAAATCTTTTTTTTTTTTTTTTTTTTTTTTGAGACGGAGTCTTGCTCTGTCGCCCAGGCTGGAGTGCAGTGGCGCGATCTCGGCTCACTGCAAGCTCCGCCTCCCAGGTTCACGCCATTCTCCTGCCTCAGCCTCCCGAGTAGCTGGGACTACAGGCGCCCACAACCGCGCCCGGCTAATTTTTTTTGTATTTTTAGTAGAGACGGGGTTTCACCGTGGTCTCGATCTCCTGACCTTGTGATCCGCCCGCCTCGGCCTCCCAAAGTGCTGGGATTACAGGCGTGAGCCACCGCGCCCGGCCAACCTTAAAATCTTGAAGACTCTGCCCCAACGCCTGATTCAAGGTACTTTTCTCAGGTGCTGAACCTGTCAGAGGCGTTTGAACCAGAGCAACTCCATCTTGAATTGGAGCTGGGTAAAATTGAGGCTGAGACCTCCTGGGCTGCATTCCCAGAGGCGAAGGCATTCTGAGTCACAGGATGAGATTGGAGGTCAGCACAAGACACAGGTCATAAAGACCTTCTGATAAAACAGGCTGCAGTAAAGAAGTTGGCTAAAACCCACCAAAACCAAGATGGCAACGAGAGTGACCTCTGGTTGTCCTCACTGCTATACTCCCACCAGTGCCGTGACAGTTTACAAATGCCATGGCAATGTCAGGAAGTTACCCTATATGATCTAAAAGGAGGAGGCATGAATAATCCCTCCTTGTTTAGCATAGTATCAAGAAATAATCATAAAAATGGGCAACTGGCAGCCCTCAGAGCTGCTCTGACTATGGGGTAGTCATTCTTTCATTCCTTTACTTTCTTAATAAACTTGCTTTCACTTTACTCTATGGACACGCCCTGAATTCTTTCTTGCATGAGATCCAAGCGCCCTTTCTTGAGGTCTGGATCGGGAACCCCTTCCTGTAACAAAACCATCAGATATCAAGCTCTTCCACACTCTAGCTCAATTCAGTGAGCAAGTTTAGTACATTCTCCTCCTCCCCTTCTCTGCTATGCTCTCAGTCCAGCCACCATTTGTGTGTCTGAAAAGGAGGCTACGATGTGCTTTCTCAAATACAGCACATCAAAGCGGGTCTAACGGCATGACATGGACTATTTCTTATGGCCTTCATCTGGATTCTAACTATATAGAGGGTCACTATGCAGATCTACCCAGGGCTGCCCTCAAGGTTATGCAATTCATGTTCTGCACAACGGCAGCTGATCAAGGGGTGAGGAGGTTGAGCTCCCACCCGGCTCCACTTGCTAGCTGAGACCCCTGCTCAGGTTGTATTCCAGAGAAAGGGGTGCCTTTTCTGATTCACCATTGGGCCAAGGGAGGCCCTGAGTCATCCCTAACCCTCTCCCTCCCAGAAATTCCAAAATCTAATGTTCATCTCCTCATCTCCGACACTGTTGATGTCCTCTTAAGGAAGAGATTATGCACATGGCAAAGGTGAATTCATTTTGAAGATATGTTTTCTGCTCAGTGTGAAGAAGAAGAGACAGGGAGGGAAACAGAGAAAAGGGAAGGATAAAATGAACGGTGGAGAAGTTGTCCCTCTGCCTAATAAATTGTGGATTCATTGTCCTTCTCTGGACACAGCTGCAAAGGGGCAGAAAATCAATTTTTTCTATTACTCCACGGTGAGGAAGGAAAACCTATCTGTAAATTGAATTAAACCCCATAATAGCATGTCTGTGTATTTGTTGAGGACTAGAAAAATTAGCCACAGATACAACTACATAACCCAGCAATGTAACTAGAAATCAACACTCTCCCATTTCAAAGCTTCGTTGAGACATTTTCTTTTCCTTTTTTAAAGAAACACCCATGGCTAAATGTCACTAAGATTCTTCGGCATGCCAACACTTCAACACCTCAATGAGGACTCTGGAAGAGAAGGAACTCCAAAGTCCCATCTGGGTAGAGCGTGCTTCCAAATTCTTGCCTTTGCTAGTTGAGTATCAGTCAGTCAGTCAATAATGATTGGATACGAACTAGACCCCTCTAGCTGATGGTTTCTTCCCAAGTCGCAATCTGTGGTGCTAACTGTGGAATAAATCCCCTGTTTCTGTGTGGGCTAGATCTTGTTCACAGACACCGTAACCCATCCACTCAGTACTGAATAATCTTGCTACTGCAGTCAGTGAGGGTCCTGAAATTTCATTAGCAGTCTGCCCTCTAGCGGAGCAACACAGTACTTCAGATTTTCTAGGAATAGAAAAGATTTTTTTTTTTCCTTTTCTTTCATGGAGCAAAATAATTCAAGTTTTCCAGATAGTGCAAGGTGAGGCAGTCATCTTCAGAAGTCAGCTTCCAGAGCTGAGGCAAACAAGGCTCACATGGATAGGTCCCCAGGTCAGAGTCAGAGGCAGATGGTGCTGAGGTGGGTGTCCCTGCAGAGACTGCAGGGACAAAGGTCCTTCTTTCATCCTTTGAACCCTCCAGAACTTTCCTTGGACATAAGCATTCAGTTCCCCACTCTCTCGTTATGCAAATAGGACCCACTTTAAGAGAAATCAGCATAATAGGGATGTTAAAAATCAGAGGCTTTTGTAATTTTTTGGCAAATTATTAACACAGAGGAGCCTTTCAAAAAGGTCCACGTTAAATTCTTTAAAAGGCAAAGATTCACAAGTTTTATAAAAAGACCACGTCTTTGTGGCTGTTAATTTTAAGAGGAGAGTCTATTTTGTGATATTGGTGGGATGTTGGTAAGGCAGAAGATAATCTTGAGATCTGTTGTTTTGGGTTTCGCTTGTGTCTTTTTTAAAAAGTCAGAACTTGGCTTGCTTCAGTTTGTCAATGTGGTAGCAGAGTTTTAGTGCGGGTCCCAGCTTCAGGCCCAGGTACTTCATGACCATGTCACTCTTCAGCAACAGCAGAGCATTGCCATCAATCTCCTGGTGGGATAGGATCAGAAGAAAGAAAACCCAGAAGATGGTCAGAGTCATCAAACAGTGGCTAAGGTTAAGGTATGGTCAGGGGATGTGCTCAGGGCATATGGATTGGTTTAGGCAGCATATTCTCTTGGTCCTGGGGCAAGATCTTTTAAAATATTAAAGCAAACAAATACTGTGTTCTCCTCTCCCCATCATCTCCCTGTAGTCGTCTGATACACGGGATGTTTCATATTCCTGCCCTCCCCTCATTGAAGGAATCAAACACAACCCCATGTGTGTTCCCAATATCCCACTTAGGAAGTTTATCTCCTCATCCAACCTTGGCTAAAGGGGCAAGAAGTGTCATCCATTAGACACTGAAACTAGAGGGTCTTTCTATTCCAAACCTCCACCTATTGCCCTAATTTCTCATTTCTTTTCTTGGTAGGCCCACCTACCTTTAGCTGATGACAAAACTACTCATTCCACCCAATGGAGGATTTCAGATGTGTTTAGCCCTGTCTGTTCCACTAGACAGAATACACTAAAGAATGCACCTGCTTCATCTCAGGGTTCAGCACAAAGAACTACTAAGGGGATGAGCCAGTCCTTTGCGGTTTGGTCCGGGTGCTGCTGCCATTGGTCATTGAAAATGGTCACCCTCCAGAATGCATGCTGAGTTCATGAACCTAGCAAGGCTGGGCTTCCATGGTCACCTTTAGTGCTATTTTCAGGTCACTGGAGACAAAGGGTAGAAATCTGAGGTGCTCGGCGGGGAGAAGAGACATAGTTACAGGACTCATGTAACGGTGTCAGGGTCACCAGCCCTCTATTCATCTGCCCAGCCAACCAGTATTGATGGAGCACCCACTCTGTGTCACTCACTCTCCATGTCTTTGACAACATGGCAGTGGGCAAGGCTTACCTGTGGGCCGCTCCCAGGAGCCTCATTTTCTACTGTCTTTTATTTCCCTCACCTCCTGGACTCCCACCGTCTCCTCCCACCCTGGAAGACAGCCAGACTCCCCCTGCCCAAATCTGTCCGAGCATAACCCACTCTGTGGTTCCTGGTCTCAAGGCCCCATTGTTAGATGAGGCCAACATATGCCTAATAAAAGACAAGTGCTGAGTTAGATGAGAATCCTCCTCAGATCGGAGAGCATGATTTCTATGACAGAATCACCAAATAAAGTGAGAATCAGGAAACAAAAATAATGGTCACGGCGGAAGGCGGAATAACGCTCCTTCCCCTCCATGCACAATGTCTGGATTCTAGTCCCCAAACCTGTGAATGTCAAGTTAGATGGCAAAGGGGAATTAAGGTTGCAGGTGGGATTAAGCTTGCTAATCCACTGACTTCAAAGTAGGGAGATTATCCCGGATTATGGGGCCGGGTGGGTGGGGAGGGGGCGGCTGTGTAATCACAAAACTCCTTAAACATGGAAGAGGACATCAGCAGCGACAACCAGGGATGGCAGCCCGAGCAGCAAACAGGCCTCAGCTTGATGTTACAGGCTTTAAAGATGATGGCAGGGGGACGGGAGCCAAGGACTGATGGTGGATCTAGAAGCCGGAAAAGACAACCACGCGGATTCTCCTAGAACCTCCAGAAGGAAAGGCAGCCTTGCTGGCTGAGCCCAGTGAGACCCATGCCAGGCTCCTGAACCCCAGAGTGGTTAGACAGAGAAGGTGGATTGTGTGAGGCCACTATGCTGGTGGTAATCTGTAACAGCACGATACAAAATGAGTACAGAGCCAGGCGCGGCGGCTCACGCCTGTCATCCCAGCACTTTGGGATGAGACCAGCCTGGCCAATATGGTGAAACCCTGTCTCGACTAAAAATACAAATATTAGCCGGGCATGGTGGCGGGCACCTGTAATCCCAGCTACTTGGGAGGCTGAGGCGCAAGAATTGCTTGAACTGGGGAGGCAGAGGCTGCAGTGAGCCAAGATTGAGATCTCACCACTGCATTCCAGCCTGAGTGACAGAGTGAGACTCCGTCTCAAACAAAAACAAAATGAGTATAGTAAGCCTAGCAGGTAAATTACTGATTCTTATCTTTAAAAAAAAATTACCATCTCTCTATATTTTAGCATATCTCAAAATCATCATAATGCTCTCTGCTCAGTGAAGGCTGTCTGAGCCAGGAACCGTGCCGAACACCTTTTGTGCATTTTCTTATTTAATCCTTGAAGTGGTTTAGGAACAGGCACTACTGCGGTTTGCCTGGTATGTCGTAGGTGTGCTGTCAATATTTGTTGTATGCACAGACGGCTGGATGGGCAGGAAGCAGGCACTCCTGATGAAGGCCAACATGAGAGAACAGATGGGGCAAATATTCCTTTAAAAACAAATTAAGTGGTCGTTCTGCTCTGAGGACCCTGTGGTTGTACCTGTCCCTCTCATCTCTGGCTCCCTTGAGGGTGCCCCTAGGCCTTAGTTTAGAGCTCCCCCCACACCTCCCCTGGCAGCATCCCGCAGCTCCCTGAACCTCACTCTCCTTCCATGCCTGCTCCCCCAATCCCCCCAAGGTCAAACCCACCACTCGCATACGTGCTTTCTGAAGAGCTCCACGTGAGGCCCCAGAGCCTGCGGGTCGGCGTCCTTCACAAACCACACCACGTCCTCCACAGTCCAGGCGGAGGGGTTCCTGCTCCGTGGCCGCCTGGCATCCTGCGCATCCTGAGAAGGGCTTGAGGCTGGATGAGGTACAGAGAGGGAGACCGTGAGCCAGTGGGACAGGGCCGGGCACCTACCTGGTGCTGCCTGCCCCCACCTAGCCTGGAAGGGGGGTCCTCAGTGCCCATGAGTCCAAGGAGCTGACCCAAGTGACCTCCTGTCACAGGGAAAGACTGTGAGTGGCAGCTCTATCAGCAGCCCAGAGCACGGAAGGCCACTCCTAGATACATTACCCTCCCCATCTATGCCAAAGCTCGCTGCTCTCCCAGGAGAAGAAGCGCGAGACAGTGGATTCCCTTCAATAGGCTGGAATTCCCACCCGAGTTGAAGTTTTCAAGACTCTCCCGCTCAGTTCTTTCTCAGCGGGCCCAGGGCCTCCTGAGCCTGGGTACCTGGTGACCAGGGCAAGTGTGCTAAGATGAGTGTCCAGATGAGCCTCATCACATCAGTGAGGCCAGTGACTTGGGGTCCTTTCTGCCTCCGTGGCCTTCACACTGAGATGATAGAAGCATGGCAGAATTGAGGTAGCTTTTGGTTCTCGTTTACGGTCTCTGCAGAAGGCAAGTCTGCGGCAGCATCCTCAGAGCCATCCCTGGTCACACATGCAGAAAGAGGATGTCCCCTCACTCACTGCCTCAGGTACACACTGAGTCCTTGCATGGCCCTCTGGGGCTGTCAGAGCATTTGCCTGGGTCTCCCCCGCTGCACTGCGAACTCCCTGACCACAAAGGGCCTAACCTGTGCCTGGTCCATAGCTGGCCCCTGGGAAATGGTTGCATAGGGTATTTCCCATGCAGCAGGTGAAAAGGCTCAGGGCAGTGAAGGAGGAAGAGAGCAATGAATTCAATGGCTGGCAATACTTACGGGTTGATTTTTGTGTGTGTATGTCCCGAACTAATTAATCCTCTTTCCCTACAGCCAGCTCCTCTTCCTGTCTCCCCCATTTGGGGAACCTACCTCTTCCTCCTCCCCTTTTTGTGCTTCCCACATTTAATTATTCTGAAGCTCTTGGGAGAATGCCTCTGATGCTGGTGTCCTCTCTTCCAACCCTGCTATCCCAGTCCCAGAGCCTGCCACCTAAACCCCTGCCATGGGTTCCTAATGGGTATTTTTGGGCCATGCCCTGTTCTTCCTACTGCCTACAACTACCACTGCCTCATGTTCTCCCTAAGACCCATCTCTCCATGGGTCCCCCTTACCAACACACTGAGTCCTCATTCTACCTCAAGGTCAAGGGCTCTCTTGGTCTTAATAATATTTTTCTTTCTTAATGGAGGGGGAGAAGAGCTTTGGTGCCAGAGAGACCTAGGGACAGATCCTGGAGTTGCCGCTTGCTGGTGATTGGACCAGGATGTAGCTCATGTGTGAAATGGCCGTGCTTTCTACCTGGAGGGGCAGGTGTGAGGACAGAGATGGGATACTGCCCTGCCCCGAGTCTGACCTATGTCAAGTGCTCCACCAAGGGCAGGAGCCTCCCTCCCTTCCCCACAGCCCTCATCTCCTGTGCACCGCCTGTCTGTCTGGGTACACTTGTTGTGACCGACCGGATGTCTCCCCAGCTTCCTTCCTCTGCCTGTGGCTGGTGCTTTGGCTTCAACCTAGAAGGCATTTACCCTCTCTCCTTCCCACTCATGTTCCACCTGATGCCTTCATGAACAGAAATGTTCTGTACTTCCTGCAGCCTGCACATCACCTTCCTACCCCTTTATTTTATTGTATTTTATTTATTTATTTTTTGAGACAGAGTTTCACTCTTGTTGCCCAGGCTGGAGTGCAGTGGCGCGATCTCTGCTCACTACAACCTCCACCTCCCGGATTCAAGCGATTCTTCTGCCTCAGCCTCCCGAGGAGCTGAGATTAGAGGCACCCACCACCACGCCCAGCTAATTCCTGTATTTTAGTGGAGACAGGGTTTCACCGTGTTGGTCAGGCTGGCTGGGAACTCCTGACCTCAGGTGATCCACCCATCTTGGCCTCCCAAAGTGCTGGGATTACAGGTGTGAGCCACAGCACCCAGCCTCCTACCCCTTTATTCCTACATCTTTATTTGTTCATCTGTCTCTTAATGTGCTTTCACATTCCGCTTTGTAGTACAATTATTTATGAACTTCTCTATAACCTCTAGTTAGATTTTAATTTCCTAAGGATTCCTCCCACTCACTCCACAAACATTGACTGAGCACCTTCTCTGTACCACGTGCTGGGTGAAGTGTTTGGTGAAAAATACAAATGTGATCCTCTCATGACAGGGGTTATAATCATTGACTCCTCCATGGCTCAGAGTACATATACAGTCCTGTACCGCCTAAGGACGGTGGTCCCATAAGATGATAATGATTCTAGTTCCTATTGCCTGGTGATCTGTGCTACAATTTCCTACAGTATTCAGTACAGTAACATGCTGTACAGGTTTGTAGCCTAAAAGCAATAGGCTATGCCACACTGCCTAGGTGTATAGTAGACTATACCATCTAGGTTTGTGCAAGTACAACCTATGATTTTCACACAACATCGAAATCACCTAAGGATGCATTTCCCAGAATGTATCCCATTGAGTGATGCATGACTGTGTTTATAAATATGGGCTTGATAAATGTGAGATGAATCAATATACTCTGTAGACACAGTCTAGGTAACTTATACAAAAGCCCGTGTGTGTAATCTTTACTTACAAGGCTGGAAAAAAGTCAAGGCTCTGAACAATGAAGCAGCTTTCCTACAGAATTCTAGTTAGAAGTTGAGAAGCCTTCACTTTATCTCCCTTCTTTAGATCTCAGGGCACAGTGGCTTTCTGCTGTCTCTGTCTCCTTCCTCTTTTTAATGTGCCTGAGACGTGCATGCTGCTCCATTAGCACTGAGGAAAACACAGCATCGCATTTCTGCGTCTGTCCTAAACACGTAATGGTTTGGCTGAGAACTGGATTGACTTTGAGATTTTCCCTGCCTCTTCCTTGTGGGACCTGGAAGGGTCCCATAAGGTGGTTTGGCACGGGGCATTTTTCTGGGAATCTGTTAATGCACCCTGGAGCCATCTGAATGCTGATCCATGCTTATTAAAGATGATTTCACTCCATTTAAAGACATCTGCACTCAACATGGGGACGAGGAATCACGGAAATCACACTGCCTTTGGATCTCGCCCCATCAGAACATCGGCGTTAATCAGGGTGATAATAGATGCTCTGATTACAAAGGCTGGAAGTCTTCAGTGCCAAGAATAATTTTAGAGTGATCAGAGCAGAGGTCAAATCTAATTTCCTGCATTTGACAGGAAGGGGAGGAAAACCCAGACCAATTAACAGGATCATTCACAGGAACCTACAGTCCTTTGAGCTAGGTCAGGGACCTCCAAAAACAGTGTTGAAGGGCTGAGCCAGGTGGCTGGTTTGTCGTTAAGGAGGAGGCTCTCGGGGCAATTGCTGTGGAAGGAAAGAGATAACTGAGATGGCAAAGTGGGCTCTGTTCCTGGTACCTGGTGCTTGCTGTGGGCACTTTTCACTTTTCCAGGATGGAGCGGAGGCAGCAGGGGCCTGGCTCGGGCGTGTTTCTTAGGGGACCTTTTAGTCATACAAGACAGAGGGCAGCAGGCAGCCTAAGTCACACCTTGGGAGCTGCTCCTGATCCAAAGCACATAGATTTGCTTTAGAAAGGAAAACAAATGGAACTTTCCAGTGGCAGGTTTGCAGAGCCTCTCAGTGGTCTGTGCTCACGAAAATGATAAATACACTAGCCACTCCCTCTCCAGCTGTGGTGAAGGTGTCAGGAAGACAGATGGGTGGAGCCTGCTGCAGCTGGGGCAGGCAGATGTGATAGGTCAACAGTAAGACATGATGGATGTGGAAAAGTCTTGCTCCTAAGAAGACAGAGCACGTCAAGAAGTACTGGCCAGACAACTTGGTGAGCAGGCAGAGTTCTCTAACCAGGAGGACATTGTGCCTGGTCTTGTCATTCCCTGGGGCCTGCCAGAGGCATGTGAAAAGTGAAACTCAGTTATGAATGGATTAAATATGCTTGTTTCTAAAGCTGAACTCACCTTTACCAGAGCTAGGATGACTGTGAGTCAGTGTTTCAAAGCAATCCCGATTTTCACAGCACAGGTACTTGCATACTCTCTGTGAATCTCCCTCTGCCTTACACATGCCCGTGAGCACATCCATACGTACGTAATTTCCTTTCACTCATTCATAACTCAGAAGAAACTCTTTAGCTAACGACAGAGTCATGTGGAGGAGCGGAATGAGCAGTGAGTTGGGAGTCAGAAACCCCTGCCACCCACCAGCCATGTGATCAACCCTCTGCTTCTCTGCTGTAAAATAAAAGGGCTTGATCTCTAAGCCCCTGCCAGCCCCTTATGATGCTGTGTAACCCCTCCCACCTCAGGCTGTTCACACGAAGGGAGTCACCTCCTCCCACAGCTGAAGGCTGCATGAGTGTGTCCACATGCAAAACACAAGTGCAGCCATGGCCAGGCGTCCTGTCCCTCCCGGGCTCTGATCATTCTCTACGGACCTCATTGTCTTCATCTATAAGTTGTGAATATTATTTTTTGCTTCTTAAGAATATTTTAAGAATCAAGAGAATGTGGCTCAGAGCTGGAGCCTGACCTTAAGAATCTCAAAGACTGGAAGGTCATTGTCTCCGACAGGGACCCCTGTGTCCTCAGGCTGCCTGTGAGCTGCCCAGGCCCTCTTGGTTTCTGGCAGCTGCAGCTGGGTTGGGAGGGCCGGGGTTGGTGAGGGGCAGGGGAGGGGGATCTGTTCTCAGCATCTCCAAGTGACCTGCTCCCGCTAGACGCTTCCTTTCTAGATACAATGCCATATCAAATGTGTGAGGTGCCCAGGCTAGCCCACAATTATGGCAAAATTATGTGGCTTGAAACAGTGCTGTTTTTCATTATTTCTATCTGTTGCCCAGGCTGGAGTGTAGTAGGGTGATCTCGGCTCACTGCAACCTCTGCCTCCCAGGTCCAAGTGATTCTCCTGCCTCAGCCTCCGGAGTAGCTGGGATTATAGGCAAGCGC